ACAAACAAACCTTTTGTTGTCACTTAAGTTGAGTTCATTTCCACGCTGTGGGTCTCAGCCTTAGTTTGTGTTCTAGTCTGATAAAGTGGTATTTTATATAATTCTGTTTGGGCTTAAATCCCTAATAGTTAGAATTATTCAGGTAAATTCCCTTCATGAGCAGCTCGGTAGAGTCTTCATCCTAAAACGTAAACTTCTCAGGTTAATGAATGAGGCCAGTCTTAATCTTTATTTCAGTGTTATATGATTTATATAATTTAATCTGCCCCACATGTGTTATTAATGAGCTTCTGGTGAACTCAACACATCTCTGAACCTTTTTTGTTTCGGTGCAGCTCAGCCACATTTCATTTCCATATAAACTGCACTGAACCCGTCAGGATAAAAGATGACGAGCAGATAGAGAGAAATGATGCCGTCAGGACACGATGACGTAACTCAGTCGGTCCGTCTGTGCAGCCGTATGCAAAGTGCAGCGAATGCATTCATGCTTCATGCAACAGCGCATCTGGACCTCCGCATGGTTGTGGTTAGAAAAGCTCCTGAACGGACCGAGACAAGCTTCTGTATTTAGAGAACAAACAGGGGAGTGAGAGCAGAAACTGTTTTAGCTGAATATCAAAAATGTCTTATAATTATTTATATGTGTTAAATTAATTTTCCTCTTTCTAACACTGAATATAACCTAAAAGTCATTCAAGTGTTCATTCAGTCCACTCAGTTAAATGCGTGGCTGCAAGATGATAAAAATAAAAATAAAAGTAAATTTAGATCAAACCTTTTGAGTTGCAAACATTATTCTAATGGGTTGGATCAGAACATTTGTGTTGCATCAACTGAACATTTTGTGTCGTTTAAACTTAAACGTACGCATGACTTGATTTAAAACTAACTTAACGTTGAGATAATTAAATGGGCCTGATAAGTACATTTTTCTTCACTTGAGTTCAGGTTTTGGACTCCCCTCCTCTTTCTCATCGTGTCTGGACAGATTTTAAATGGCCAAGACTGTTAATTAAAACAACTTTTGGTTGTAGAGGAAAAGCTAATTCCTCCGACTCAACATCGTTTGTTGGTTGAACAAACAGTCCTTGTAAGTCGTCTAAACTCACAAAGGTGTTCATTTTGTTCTCGTTGGATTTTTGTGTCCCTGCTGGAAGTAAAAAGAATTTAATTCATTTAAATGTTCACATCAGAAACATTTCATTCACATGAGACTGTTTATTATATTTATATATATGTATGTATGTATGTATGTATGTATGTATATCATATTGCTATGTGAATAATTTAATCACGTCCTAAGTACAAGATTTCTATTTCTATCCCAGTTCAGTTATTCAACTGCGTTTAACTTTCACATTTCCAGCGGTTTCTTTGTGTTCTTTGTGGATGAATCTGTCCAGACGTAGACATAACTCCATGTTTAATTGTGTGCAAACACAAAGCCATACACGTAAAAACACTGATTTGCATGAAGAAGGGAAAAAGTCAAAGTTCTGTACGTTAAACATACAAACGCTGCATCAACAGCAGTGGATCAAACACAAACTCATGGCGATGCAAATCACACAACGCTAACGGTTCATTCACAACAAAACCATGTAAATGTGTGTTTGTTGGTTTTTTCGTTTTCATTACTTTCTATGAAAAGAAATCTAGTTTCTGGTAAAACCGTCGACGGTGACGTCTGAAGTTTATCTAAAACTAATCAGTTCACATCAATCTGGGTTCGTTTGACTACGCCCATATATGGACTGACATGTTTACCATCAGTGTTTTCAGTATTTCCTTGTATCTGGTGAGAACGATGTTATTTATGTAAACAGATCCGTTTTTGTGAATACCGGCTACGTGTGAACGTGGTCCAGATCCTTGCTTGTGTTGTATCTGCTCTCAGATGTAGGTTGCTTTGGATAAAAGCGTCTGCCACCACCTCAACAATCCATCCATACGCATTCACACCAGGCACGGTGGTGAAGTGTCTTGCCCAAGGACACAACGACCACGACACAGGTTACAGGGTGGAATCAAACCGTCGACCTTCCGATCACTGACCGACCCTCCGATCACTGACTGACCCTCCGATCACTGACTGACCCTCCGATCACTGACCGACCCGCTCTACCAGCTGAGCCACAGCCGCCAGAACGGCTCCAAACCTGAGCTGATCATCACAAACTACTGGACAACTAGTTTTAAACTGACTAGTGCAACCCAACCCATCAGAACAATGTCTGCAGCTGCAAAGGTTTATCTGAATCGGTAAAGACTTGGTCGATTCTGGGATTTCAGAATGCTCTGAATCAATGACATGATGAGAAACAAGAACGATTCATTTTCTTTTACAGTTTCTGAGATGTTGTTGTTCACATCCCGTCACATTTCAACTTGCAAAAAATCCTGTTGAAAGTGGGTCAAACATGCAATTTATTAAAAAAAAAAAAATTGTCTAGAAAGCATTTGATGTCAGTCTAAAAAACTCCACCGATAGTTTGAGTAGGTAGAAATCCTGAAGTCAAGCTGAAGACAAATTAAGCAAATCTATTTATGTTACCTCAACTTAGATTGAGATTAACTAATGCAGAACATTGAGTTTAAACTACACAGATATGCAGATGACACCCGGTTATACGTCCCATTAGAGTCTGGAACCACCCACGTCTCTCATTATGTCCTTGTTGAAATTAAAAGCTGGATTTCTGAGAATGTCCTGCAGCTGAATGAGTCCAAACCGAAACAGGTCAACTTGAATTTGTTTTAACTCCGACTTTGTTTTAACTTGCTTTAAATCCACTAATGCAGACACTAAATTACATGAATATTAAGTTGATTCAACATCATCATTTCAACCCAACCCATAATGTTTGCAAATGAAAAGGTTTATCTAAACTAGTTGTTTTTATTTTTCTGGTTTTTTATCTTGCAGCCATCCCTTACTGTTTAATTAAATGTCTAAATGTCCGTCTTTGCTCTGTGATTCTTTATCAGGGGGAAACAAATGGAACAGGAACCAGCAGCACCACTGATGCAGCGGGTTCGACTCCAGCGACCACACCGCTGCCCAGCCAAACCTCCGTCACCTCCAGCAGCCTCCCCGGCAGCCCGACGACCAGCCGTCCTCCTCCGGCCTCCTCCACCTCCCCTCCGGCTGCCACCAGCTCCTCCCCCGGGCCGGCAGCCTCCTCCGGGCCCACTCAGAGCCCCGGAGAGCCGGCCTCCACCGCTCAGCCGTCCACCGCCGGGACCGGAGGCAGCAACGCTCCAGAAACCGCCGCCACGACGTTACATGGCGGATCTGGATCTGTGTTCGGGAGCTACAGTCAGCTGGTGGTGCCGTCCATCTCCATCCTGGTCTGCTGGACGCAGGGCTGAAGGAGGAAGACCGCGGACTCTGTCGCTCTTTTATACTGAAGCCATAAATCCTGTATATAGAGGAAGAAAAAGAGGAAATATCAAAGTATGGATGGAGCCACATTTACTGTAGTGGGCCATGAAGTGCTGTGTTTGCACCGAGCTCCTTTCACCTGTTGCACAAGTTTTACAAACTCTGTATTCACACGTTGAAGCTTTGCTTTGGTCACGATGGTAGAACGAGACAAATACAGCTGTGTGTGTTGTTTTGGCAAATAAACGGAGGACTGAACCGACACCGGGCTCGTGTTGGGTTTGTTCCACCTTAAATCATCAAACTGCTTCTGTTTCTCTGGTTTAATCATAAAATACAGATATTTAAGACAGTCTTTGTAAAATTTAGATTTAGATATATCAAATACTTTCAGAGACTGTATTACTGTTATTGTTTTTGTTTTTCAGATGACCCCGGCCACGTTCACACGGAGCCGGTATTCACAGAAACAGATCTACGTTTTCATAAATAACATCGTTCTCACCAGATCGTTCACACAAACCCTCATAAACACGTGGTTCAGAGCTGCTATACATACAAATATATATATATATATATATATGTGTGTGTGTGTGTGTGTGTGTGTGTCTTGGGCATTGGTAAGTATATGGAGATCAAGTTTCACACATATCTTTGATGCTATAAAACTTCGTCTGGCTGAAGTTGTTCTAATAAACTGCGATGACCTGAAATGGAAGCAGCCGTTATTTACAAATGGAAGAAAGTCTGAATTGTGAAACCCGATGAGGAGGCTGTGAAGTGAGTTATAGTTATTCCATCCCAGACAACCTCAGGTCCTCTCCGGCTGATGGAACATGGCAGCCACGGCCACATTTGCATGTCGGCCTCGACAATAAAAAGATAGTCCCTCTTATTCAAATCCAGGAGGCTTGTTTTGAACCTCTTTTGTTTCTCTCTTTGCTCTGTTTAAAGGTTTTTACGGCATGAGAACAAGAAATGTATCTGCTGACGTAGAACAAGTTCACGGTTTCATATCTGACACGTGTGAAACAACAGGAACAGATGACGGTAGTTTATTATCTTCATATAAAAATAAACTGGACGTAGTTTTCCTCAGGCTCACACGTGTTAATGCTGCCGCTGGTATAAATGTCAGGCATCAATTAAACAAGAGTCACAAACAATCACCTGAAAATATCAAAAATCAATCGTATACTTTGAGTGACTGATTTTTTAACATCAGTCCTGAGTGTGAACACAAACTGGTCATTTATTGTCAGCATGTTAACTCTTTAAACGCCTGTTTGTTCACATGATGTTACTGCACTCTCAAAAAACCCAAATATTATCCATGAAATAGAAGCCAAGTGGGATTTTTAATATAATGTTTTTATGATGTGTGTGTGTCTGTCTGGGACGTGTCAGTGATCATCACCTCTAACACTGATTCAGATGCATTCGTATGTTTAATGTCGAGTAAATAAAACACCTGAACTCAGGACGTTAAAGACAAAAATGTCAAGAACTTATTTTAACCAGCACCAGCTCTGATCATAACTCACCAAACAGTCGCTCATTTTCAGGGTTTTCACCCCGAATGAGAGTCTGAACATTTTATTTAACTTTATTCAACAAGATGAATGAATTTGATCTTTTACAGTAACTGTCTGGATTTTAGGTTTAAACGCTGTCATATCAGGATGAAAATACACGACAAAAACAAAACCTGGTGGCAAGAGTGCCTGAAAACGGACGTTAAAGAACGGTGGGAAACTGTAGAAACTGTGAACATAACAACACAGATCTGTAAAATAATCCTGAAACGAGCACAGTGAGGACGTTTCATGATCACACACTAAAACAAGACGCTGCTCATTAACTCGTTTTCTATCCTTAGTAATCACAGGAAAGCAGAAACAGAGCGACCCTTTGGCTGAATGTGATAAAAGATCAGATTACTGTTTGTTAAAGCATTTCATATGGACATGATTTACAGACGTGTGTTTTGTCCACAGTCATCAAATTATGTTTGTTTCTGTGATTTTGCAAAGTTAAATTTGCGATTTAGTAGAAAATAGCGATTTATTATTTTTCATTCCTTAATAAGCAGATTTTTTGTTTCAAATGGGGACACACATTTTTTTTGTTTAATCAAAATACAGTAAAAAATAAAAAAAATAAAAGCCATTTTACAGCTACAGTCGTCCTCTAATGTCTCCATCCCGTTCTATTAAAGAAAAGAAAATCCACAACAGTCACTCAAATAACTAGAAACTGGATAATAAATAATTAATAATAAATAAAAATTTGCTAAATTATAATTTAGTGAAATAAGATGTTGCTTTTGAATTGTGGTTGAAAAGAATAATTTAAAAAAATTAAATAATAATACTGTCCCGGATAAACTAGAGGCCTTTGCTGATGAGCAGTGGTCCAGAACACCTGTCAACAGGTGCACAAGTCTGACTGAGAGTTACAGAAACAGCTGATGGCAGTGATTGGCTCAGAGGGTTGTTCAGCTACATGTTAGTCCACCAGGTCCATCATGCTGGTTTGTGTTTGTTGTTTTTTTTAAGATTTCTGTTGAACCCCGATTCAGAAGCAGCGTCATGATGTTCATGAAGTTTTTATTTATTATCACTTTTGTCAGTTTCCACTGATTCCAGCTGTTGTTTCCTTCTTTAATGGGAGGCTATGAACACATTAGAGGACGACTGTAGGTGTTAATTTCCATTTAAGCTGATTTATTCGTTTGTTTTATCTACTTTTTCCAACACAAGGGAAATCTGTTAAAACTGTGAACAATATTCTCAGGATGTTCTGCACAACACTTGGAGACACACTGCTGAGGAAAAAACAGCTGAGTCAAGGTGCCTCTTACGGGTGTATCTGGACGCATTTCAAATGGCCCAGCGTGAGATTTTGCATTTGTGGTCCAGCACCAGGGTGGAGACTGAGGCGACGCTTCCTGAATGGAAACAGGTATCAGGTGAAGCATGAGAAGGCTTCATAAAAGGCCGCCGTCTTCAGACACCGTCGACACAACCGCCAGGCTCAGGAGGACGACGGGCAGAGATTTAAACAGGAAGATCTGTTCAGACGTCTGATTCCACATCTTCAGCTCGTCAAGAAGACTTCGTCTGTCTTCCAGCATGAAGCACCTGGTTCTGGAGCTGCTTGTCCTGACTCTGCTGGGATTTGTCTGGACCCAGGTAGGACTCTCCCTCGCCGGATACACCGTGAACAATATATGGTCATTATCCTAAAGAGTCTTTAATAACTCACTGTTACTCTACAGATTTTCACAGTTTAATGTCGAGTAAAATCACCTAGAAATGCTTTTATTTAACTGCTCAGCAGTGTAAAGTGTGTTTGTTTCCAACTTTAACTTTGTGCTGCACTTTTTGTACAAATGAAATTCAACACAAGGTGCTGTTAAGAAGGTTTACTTTATCTATTTGATTTGATTTATTTATTTATGTGCATGTACATATACATAAAGTATTTATATATTTCTTGAACACTTATTTGTACTTCATTTTATTTTTTTTGTATTGAAACTGGATGCTGGTACAAAACACATTTCAAAGCTTGTCTTGAATCTTAACAACAAAAATGCAGTAAAAACAATTAAAACAAATCCTTTAAACATCCTGGTGAAGCTAAAGGACCAATAAGCTCAGGAGCTGATGAACAAGTAAAAGCAACGAGGAGACAAATCCACCAGAAGCCAGACTAGAGAGGTTCTGAGTTTACTTTTTAAAATATCGACACTTAAAAAAAATCTATTTATTTTATTTACATTTTTTTGTGATTTTTACATGTTTATTAAAATAATAATAATAATAATAATAATTCCAATAATGACCATGGTAAAAAAAGATTATTTTTGTTAAATAACATTTTTCTTCCTGTATTTGAGGTACATGTGGTACCTGTTTTTAAGTTCCTCTTTTATATAGATTTTGTCAAATACTGTTTTTTATTTTACAGCATAAAGCAGAGACAGTTGGAAACGTATAAATATACCGCTTGAATTTGAAGCTTCAGGTTCTCAGGGGTTAAACATAAAAAAAGAAAAGATTCAGCTTGATCCAGGACACGTCTGCCATCTAAACCTGACTTTTCATGTGTTGGACAAAAGATATGCAGCCTTCAGCTTTGTGAAATCAAACACCGTCCAGTGTCATAAAATCCTGTTTCTGTTGTTTCAGAAGACGACACCGACCACCACGATGACCATCAGCACCAGCACCAACTCGTCGACCAACGCCACCAGCTCCGGCAACGGCAACGTCAATGGCAATGGCAATGGCAATGGCAACGGCAACGGCAACGGCAATGGCAACGGCAACGATCCCAACGGAAACCAGACCTCAGCCAACCCCACGATGGCGACCACCATGTACACAAAGAACGGCCAGAACCACGTGTTCACTTCGGTCCGTCTGCTGCTCGGATGTTTGGTTCTCGGAGCTCTGTGGCTGTGAACAGCGCCGATGAACACATCGCATGTCCAAGCTGAGTTTAGAGCCTCTCTTATGTTTTTCTTTTTTAGAACAGAAAAGGGTTTGCTGTAGAATAATAATAACGACTTTACTTCTATGGCATCTTTCAAAACAAAGTCACAGTCAAGAGCGAACCATCCGGTAGCCGTGAGTCACTGCTGATAATATTCCACTAGAGGCTTTAAAACAAGCAGGAAAATCTTCATATTAACTCTGAACTCAGCAGCCAGAACCAGCGTGATGTGTTCGCTTAAGTGCACTGTTAAAAAACAACAACAAAGAAACAAAGAAAACTGTGAAAATCTGAAATCAAGCCATAAAAAACACGTTAAAACACAAACACACAGTGGAACACTGTAGCACAGACAAACAAACAAACAAAACTGTGAAAATAACAGCAAACACCTGTAAAAGTCAAATATATACAAAACTATTTTGGGGAATTTAACAAAAAAGGAAAATCTGTGAAAAAAAAGTTTCTAAAATAATTTGTCGTTTCCTTCATATGCATAATGTTTCATTCAAATAATATCAATATAAATATGTATCAAAAATTTATGCCATATTTTTTTGGTTAAAATTAAAATAATAATTTTATGGACAAAATTGTAAAAGAACAAATTACCATTTTTAAAATGACTGATTTTTGGTGTGGTTATTATTGACAGTTTTGACCTTTTTTTTTTAAATGAGCAAAAAAAAAAAAAACATTTCCTGTTATTTTACTCGTTATTATCTGTAGTTTAGAGAAAATCTAAGTTCAAAACTTACACTACAATACTGTTAGATTTTAATTTAATGTTTTACAGTTTTCAGACTTTGGTTGTTAGAATAATTAAAGTAGAGGAGATAAAAGCAGGAGAAATCAAAAGAAAGAAGAGACTGTTTTGGACATCCAGGTTTTAATTTCAGCAGAGTAGGACATCATGAGAGGTACCAAGCCTTAACAGGACATATAAGTGGGTGTCATCTGCATAGCACAGAGAACAGAAGGGGACCCAGTACGGAACCCTGGGGGACACCACAGATAAAACACATCATCGGATGTTTTTGTGAAAGTAATTGTGTCTCATAAAATGGTCAGTGAGATCCAAGCAACAGAGCTGGTCTACAGAGGAAGCAACATGCAACAAGTTGGCTCATCTATGAATTGTATCCAGCGCATTTGTAGCCGTTAAATGCATCAAAACATGTTTGTCTGCATTTTAAGATGTCGCTGCGACATGTAGATTTTAAACATATTTTAGACTTAAGTTTTTTTTTTTCATTTATTTAGTCAAATTATGTCCTGCAAATATTTTGTACATCTGTAGAAATGTTTATGCATTAGTCAGTTTTAAAGAAAGTATCTGTCTTGTGTGTATTAGTATTTAATAGTACAAGCAGCGGTATCAGGAGTTTAACTGGTGTGTCCAAAAGCCAACAAACGTGAAATAAACGGGGTGAAATGTGGTACAGATATTTATCAGGTGTCTCGATACCAACATGTAACGTTCACATTTACGATTTGTATCCTTCAAAATAAAAAGGAGCATTATTTAATCAAATATGTGGTCATGTGGTTTAATAATATGGCGTCGTTTTTCTTCTTTGTGGTTCGCGTTTTGGAAACTAAAGAGAGCAACAAACAATGACAGAAACATCAACGGTGTGTTTTGTTAGCATCACATCCAGACAGTAGGCTGTCCAGGTATCAAGTTATGTGATAACAAAAATGAAAGGGCCACAGATTGAATTTTTCTCAGAGAGAAACCCGACACGAGCTTTTGTTGTGCGACAGTACGAGCACGATTTGACACTAATACTGAACCAACACCCAAATAAAGGACGACTGCAGACAGTCTTCAACAAGACAGTCCTCGTATTTTCCTCAAGAAAGCAAATTCCTTTTATATTCTTGTGGCTGTGAGAGCGTAAGTACTGCAGGACTGAACGTAGCATCAGCTCACGCCAACATCACAATATTATAAATGTGCATCATAACGTAGAATGTTCTCATCACTAGAACACAACAGAACAGCTGAGCAGGTGAGGGAACATTTCTGTCTGAGGGCGTAAACACTGACATTAACACAAAACTCATGAAATTCTCTAATTCAACTGAAATGCTTTACAGAACTTCGTGGTGGGTCCCAGACAGCAGACTGGCCCAAACATATGATGCTCAGCTGAAGTCTGAAGGCAAACTGGGCTCATTTTTCATTTCAGATAAACAACAACATGTCGTGTGAAGCTCTGAACAGACTTTATCGTCAGTCAGAGCCGAAAGGCCATAAAACCGTCATTTGAATTTCTTAACGGTTCATCAGCCACGACTCATGCAGAGTAAAACCTCTGACCTTGATCCTACAGCTCCAGGTGTCCCACATGAGGAAATAACTTACGCTGTTTTTTGGTTGTTTTTTTCCCCAGTCTGTCAATCATCCACCAGGACAAAGGCAGAGCGAATGATTTTCCATTCGTGAATTGTGTAACTGCTTCAACTCGCTGGACGTGATCACGTGCTCGCATGAAGTCAGAAACAAATCTGCTGGAAAAGCTTCTGTTAAGGTGTCCTTTACATAAAATAACTGCAAAACATCCAAGAGGGGAGACAGGCAGCCCAGATGGACTACTCATGTCTGGCACCTATAAACGAAGGGTCCATATGAAGCACTGTCACCACACACCAGTGAGGTCATACTGGATGAAGCTGACCAATGAGATGGTAGCAATTATAATTAGTCAAACGGGATCGCTTTAGATCAATATTTCTACACACCAGTCTTATTTCTTTTACACTCATTGATTCTGGAGCGTGTCATTCTCACGTGTACTAGCTGTAGATTCTCAAACTGACTGAAACTCCAACAGAACGATTGAAAATGTTTTATAAAATACTGTTAATGTGAAACTAAATTAACTCATCACTGGCAATTTTATGCTCAACATTATCCTGTTTTTCTTTCTTGAAAAAAACAACAAAGATCTATGAACACTGATCTTGTGTATTTTTGAGTAAAAACAATCAAATCTGGTGTAAAGAAGCTGGTTCCTCAGTAAGGAGTGTGTTAAATAGACCCTCTAAAGCCTGGAACCTCCCAAAGGCAGCAAGAGGAGTGTGTGAACGAAGTCCCAGCTCCCACCTCTAGAGGCACTGCTGAGTACGCATACAAACACTCACATACCTGCCTGACCCCACCTGGCAAAAATGACAAAACTTGCTGGAAGGTTTTAGACATGATTTAAAGCATGACCAACAGGAGACCAGACAAATGTCCCCTGTCCAAATCTACTGGACTTCCTTCTTTTAAGGTGTCTTTGTTCATAATATAACTACAAACATCCAAGAGGGCAGACAGGCAGCCCCTCGTGTCCGGTTCCTATCAAAGAAGGGTCCGTATGAAGTGGTACACAGCTGCCACCACACACCAGGAAGGTCATACAGGATGAAGCTGACCAGTGAGA